CTGGCTCAGTCTGCACAGAAGATTTCTCAGGTTGTAAAACAGAGTTATGCTCCAAAACAATTTCTTGCAGCTGTTGCTGAAAAGTAGTCTTGTCCTCCCTTATCCAGCAGGAAAACAGGCAGAATCTGGCTTTCAGGCCCTTAGTTTCCCACAACTGAAGAGGGGCTTCAATCATCTTGCTCTAGCCTAAATCAGACTCTGGACCATATTCTGGCTCTAAATCCATGGGAATGAGGGTGGTGTCAGGGCTAGGCTTGGCAATATGCCTCTTCCCATCAGAATAAACAGAAATTTGGAGGAACATCATTGGAACAACCCCCTGTGTGTCTCCTAACGTCTCGGCTACTATGCAACTGATCACTATAAGAACTGATAACTGTAAAAAGATTAAATAATTCTGTGCAAGGCATACACTCTATGTGTTAACCAAAAAGATGCCTTACTCAATCTATATCTGATTCCTTTTACATGCAGCTGCTGCAACAGTTATAAGCTTGCAAGGAAATCTCGCTTACCCTCCAATATTTGCCCAAATGTAGCCATTCTATTATTAAGACCAAGTCTAAAGCTATTCCCACTACACATTCTTTCTAGAAAAGCCCTGGTTATGTGCAAAGTATCCAAAAATTTCTAACAACAATCAATTTCTGAAATTCATAGGAAAGTTAAGATAACCATCCAAGAGACTATTCAAATCTAGTTGCCTCCTGAGTGAGAGACATAAGGACACTCCTGTTGAATCAGAGCGGATACTCTGTCTAGTCCAGCATAGTGTTTCTACGAGTAACAGCCATTCTGTTGCTTCTGGGAAGTCCCAAAGTAACAGATTAAGGTAATGAACTTTCCTCAGTGTCATCCTCCTTCAGCAACTACTATGCAGAAGCACACTGCCTATGAATATTTCCATTTAGCTATCACAGCTAACAGCTCCTGGACAGATCAATTCCCCATGCATTTATCTAATTCCCTTTTAAAGCCATCTGAGACAACAGCCATCCCTACATCTTGCCTTGCCAATTCCACAAGTTAATTATGCCTCTTGCGGACAAGTGCTTTCCTTTCCTCTTGTAATTTAAGCAACATGACTTTCAGACATATTCAGCCACACATTAAAGATACAATGCTGAACTGTGCGACAAGAAATACTGGGCTTTGTTTCACGCAGAGCTTGAAAAGAACAAAGAAAGTAGGGTAAACTTTCTATTAGTCCAGTAATAAATATCTACTAGCAGCCACTAACTGGTTTTAGTGATTGGACATTGTTTTAGTGTACAATCCTATGGAACTGTTGCCTCTTAGGCAGAAACCGCTGATCCCAAGGACATCCAAGCATCCAAATCCTGCTGGGTTGCTGTCAGCAAGGCAGGAGGAGCAGCAGAGACCATTTTCATCTCTCTCGTCCTTTTAGGCTTCTTCCCTCAAAGTGGCCTTTGAACTAGTCTAGGAGGGGCACACTGTTGGGCTGGAAAGGGCATAGATTTGTTAAGTTTCCTTAACCTGTTCATCTTCCATTCTCCTATCTAGTAAGAAGTTATACAATCTTTTAATCATTTTCTCATCTGATTTAAGAATCATATGATCAAATGTTGTTGGCTCATAAAAGCCCCACATTCTATAGTCTTTAGCATATCTCGATTGCATTTGAACCTTGTGCCACCAAGAAATATTAATTCCTTGTTCTTTTATTTCTTGATTCAATTTTAATCCTCCCTCATTATCTAAAATATCATCATATCTCACAATCGTATCAAAATTCAATGCATTTGGATATACAAGAGCTTCCATAGGCAAAAGCCATCTTGGTAATTTAGTATACAGTTTTATCTTTAACTTTTCCCACACCAACATTAATGATTTCCTAATATAATGATTTAAGAAACAACATGTACCTTACACTTTTTATACCACATATGAGCATGCCAACCCATTTGCAAATCATGCCCTTTGCTCTTCTGCTCTCACCCACCAGAATGCCCTTGGGATTTTCTCCAGAGACCACAGGATTGCTCTTTTATTGTATTATTTGAATTTAAAATTCCTTGAGAGATGCTAGGTAAAGACTTTTTGTCTTGGGAAATACCTAAAGTCCCTTAAATAAAAGAAACTAAACAAACAAAACTTGCCACTCTGTCATCAGCTGCTAAAGTTTTTTCTTTCCCTGTAGTTTTTCCTTGTGTTTGTCTTACAAAAGCTAAAAGAAGGAACTTCTACAACTTGTGCTTTTTCATGACCAACAGCTGCACAACTCCTAAAGGGGACACAGTTACAGCTTTATACTTGGTCTAAAAACATCCACTTAAGAATAACCCTGTAAAAGAAAATCATTTGAAAGGATAGTCCTATCAAGTCCCAGGATATCCACAAATATCCTTAAAATTAGTCCCATCAAGCTCCACAGTCCTATAAATGATTCTGATAGAGATGTTCTAATCCAATGGCTGCTTTAAACTACAACACTACTTGGGGAGATACAGTGGTACCTTGGCTCATGAACTTAATCCGTTCCACAACTCTGGTTGTGACCCAAATTGGTTGTGACCCAAGTCAAATTTCCCCATAAGATTCAATATAAATAAGGTTAATCCATTCTGGCACCTCCGAATATGGTTGTGAGCCAATTTTTGGTTGCGAGCCAAGTCAAATTTCCCCATAAGGTTCAATGTAAATATGGTTAATCTGCTCTGTAACTATTGTTTTATCAGAAAATTTTGAAACAAAGTGACAAAGAACAACAAAGTAACAAAGTACTGTTCAGTACAGTGGAGAACACTAACCTAGGTGGGGGGAAGGTTATTGTTTTGAGGGAGAGTCTCCCTCCATAAGGACATTGGGAAGATCTCTTTCAGGGGTTTCCTCTCTTCTTTGTCTTCTAGCTGCAGGGTCAATTTTGGTGAAAAATCTGTCTATAGTGACTTTTTTTTCTGCGCTGCATAACCCTCCAGAAATGAGAGACCACATTATCGTTCATCAGATTCAACACTATTCATTACAGTTATGTTGGGGTGGTGCTTCTCAAAGAAATCCTGGCATGGGAGCACTTCTGCAGGAAAGACGGGCAATCTTGGCCAACTCCCCCCCACCGCGCACCAGCACAACTGCAGCCATCTCCCAACCCCCACCCTGAGTGGGGAGATGGCCACGATCACAGTTGCATTCGTGCAGGGAAGACATGTGTGCTGTGCCCATCTTTCCTGCAGGAGCGCGCCCGTGATCATGCACGTCTTCCCTGCACGAACGCAACTGTGATTGTGGCCATCTCCCCACTTGGGATGGGGGTGGAGAGATGGCTGCGATCTTGGTCACCACCAAAGTGGAGTTTTAACCCAAGTCAACATTTTCATGAAATTTTTGTTCGCGACCTGAATTGGTGTGAACCAAGGCATTTGTGAGCCAAGGTAGCACTGTACTTCTACAAATTTTGATCTTTTAGTCAACATCATCATATCCACAGTGCAACATTAGCACCATCTAGTGGCACATTTCTTTCCATTCCAGGAATGCTAACAATTTAAGGTTTTGAATTACAAAGTCCTGCAAGACTCTTTCCATATAGCAGAGCCAGTGCTTTTTTTGTCATAGAACGCACCAGAACGGAGTTCTGGCACCTTTTTTTGACAGATTTTCCAAGTTTTAAAAGTAACTTTTGAAAATTTGCTGTTTGGTCCACGTGGATTTGAATCGCCCTGTCGAGCGTAGCAGGTTGGTGACAAAATAATGAAAACGGTGCATGCAGGCTGCTTGTGTGTCAAATCCGATGCATGCGTACTTCGTCTGCACTGGTTGTGATGGCGCTGCTCGGCTTGTGGCACTGCTCAGCTTGTGATTAGTTCTGTGGTCGTGTGCTGAGTGCTTACTGCAGGCAGCGACTGTTACGTTTCGTTACACAACTGATGTGTGTGGGTATGTGTACAGTGATTGACTACGTGCGAAAGGTAAATAGTTTCATGAGTTCCAGCACCCTTTTTCTTACAAAAAAAGCACCGAGCAGAACAATAAGAAAACAATATCAATACCTAGATTGGGGTGGGGAATATGTGAGTATGGGGAGGACATTGCCCTGCTGAGCCATCCCCCATCACCAAATCAGCTGCTACAAGGCCATTTATGATGAGATGAAGAAAATGGCTGTACAAACAACCCTTGAGGCCTACTTAAAGCCAGCTCACCCCACAGCAGCACAATCAATCTCTGGCTCTCCAGGAACCAGGTCTATCTCCATCATCTTCAGTTAATGTTAGGCTCATGGGTTAGGAAGTTATGAATAAAAACAGGATTTCAAGCTTTAAAACAACAACAACAACAGAGGAGTAGGGAGAAGTCATCTGGGCACCTCTGCTTTTGCCCTTCCCAGAAACTGTTTTGTGTGTTTCTGCTTCATCCTTGAAGCCCTACACGTGTCCTGAAACACACTGGCTTGGCTACATTTGAGTCAATGCTGTGGAATGCAAAGCCACAAATATCTCTAGGGGATCTCTATCTCTTCAAAAAGACATGGATATCTCTATTTATCTATTTATTGCTTTTATAAACCATCCCTATACTCGCATCTAGGGACAGTTTACAACAAAGGAATGTAGTCCTCTAGGGAATGACATGCCCACTGATGACATGTCACCAAATGTATCACATAATTCCCAAGAGATATTCAAGGCTTTTCATTAGAGATATTCAATAGAGCTTATGACAGTCCATGTGTTCATAAGTCTAGGTTGTTCAAAACTCAGACATTCATAGCCCAGGGACTACCTGTACCAGCATCAAATTTGGCAGTGAAGCAAGGGCCACCAAAAAAGGCTAAGGGGGCTACATTCAGCCCACATGTTGCCCACCTCTTATCCAGATGAATCAACCATAAGACAAGCAACTACATGAGCAAACCTTTAAAAAATGACAATCCTAAAGTGCTGACAGATACTGTTATCTATAACAAGTATTATAGCTAAATCCCTCACTGCAAGTAAGTAGTTCAGAATAAAGGTATTGGCCTTTTTGCAACTCACCTGGGGAGTTGTTTTCCTGAATATATCAGGTCCTTGTATCACATCCTTTATTATTTTTTCTTTAAGAGTGCTGTATTCTCCTGGGCTCAGATTAATGCTCTCCAAGAACTGATTACATGATGGGCACCGTCCGCTGCAATACCAATAACAGCATATGACAATGGATTTATCAGCAACGATAAAAGATCAGCATGTTAAATTTGACTCACTGGAATATAATGACTGAAGTCGTCTTGTATTTAAGAATTATTCAGGTGCCAAGGGGTGACTTGGAATTCTAAGCAGGTAAGTCCCTCTTCTAGTTAACAGAATGATGACTTTTGCTTGTTTGTTTGACTCGCTTATGGAACTATGGAATTTTTAAAGAATTCTTGAGATGAAGAGGTACAGAACCATCAGAATGGCAGAAGAAACGCAATGGCACATGTGCACAATGGTGGCTTAAATTACAGGGGGAAAGGAATATGGCTAATCTTGTCCAAAGTGTCTGTGAAGTGCCTTTATTGGATAAGCATAGTCAATGTGCCAACTTCACCTAATTTTCCCCAATTGCCCTCATTCCAACTACCATGAACCATATCCCAGGCATATCCATATCCCAGCAAACCTCAAGAGAAGCTTTTAGAGAGAAGTTCCCCTGGATACAACCTATACAGTTTTCATCAAAGTTTACAGATGCCAAATTCATTTCATAGGCTGTGACTTTTTATGCATTCCTTCTTTTATACAAAACTTTCTTTCTGACCCTCCAATTAAAGGATAAGCAAAATAAAAAGTAATAAGTATAGGAGAGCTTTAAAATAGGAATCACCTTTTTTTCATGGTAGTTAAGCTTCCTTTCCAATTCTCTCCTGGAATACTACAAAACATTACACAAAAATTAGAAGCCAATATCATAATTTACTCACTACCAAAAGAAGTAAGTCCTGTCACTACAAGCAAGCTATAATGTCATCCTTCTAAGTTTATATTCCTATGTCCATGCCTCATATAACTTAGGATATAGCATATATGAACTCTCATATGCATGTGGAAAATGTTTGTTTTGGTAAGTAACATTTAAGATGCACTTATTTTAAATGGCAGCATCTTGAAGTAATTTATTCTATGCCAGTGTGTATAAATACCACACTGAAAAGATTTTAAACGATCCCAAGCAGATATACGCAAGCAAAATCTCAAGTACAACTAAAATAAGACAGAGTGAACTGCAAACTATTATACTTTATCATATACATATAAATATTAGTTACTGCCATTTGAGACATAGGAAAAAAATAAAAGCTGAAAATGAAATGCACAACTTTTGTAGTAAGCAATAGAAAGTATTTAGGACAGGACAGGACAGGTATTGGAAGGGTCCTGTAAGGCCATCAAGTCTAACGTCCATATCTGCCCTCCCGCCCCTTGAGATGAGCGGCAGAGGCCCTTCTCTGGGAACCCTCCGTGAAAGATATTAGGAGGGTGAGTACCCGGAGGAGGGCCTTCTCTGCGGTGGCACCCCACTTATGGAATGTGCTCCCCAGAGAGGTCCACCTGGTGCCGTCATTATTTGTTTTTTGGCGCCAGGCCAAGACCTTTTTATTTAAATGTTATTTTAACTAATTGCTGATTATTTATTGATTTTATATTATTTGCCAGGATGTTTCCAATTTTTATGTATTTGTATTGATATTTATTTGTTGGAAGCCGCCCCAAGGCTTATGCGAAGGGGGCGGCATATAAGAATTCCAAATAAATAAATAATAAATCCCCTGCTCTGCTTCCAGATATGGTCACCCATCGGGCTATAAGCCTGTGCCATTCCAGCTTAGCAAACATGACTTGACATGTTAGCTCAATGTATAGCTACACAGTGAAGCCATTCATTGCCCACAAGAAGTTTCAGAGTTCAGCTCCCATCAGTCCCAGCCAACATGGCCAGTTGTTGCAAATACTGAAAGTTGTAACTCCCAGAATCTAGAAGGCATCAAGTTGGCCCCTTCTGACTTGCTCTGTTTCTATGCATCTATATTGTAGAATGTCATATAAAAATCCTCCTCATACAGATACAGTTGAGTTACCTGCATGTAAATAAACATTTTATTTATTGCAATGGATAAAATATTTCCTAAGATTTGTTTTCTAGTATTCCCCAAACCATCCATTGGAAAAAAATGAGAAGAATCTCTGGGGAGAAAAACAGGCCCTTTCCTAATGTTTTGCAGGTCTTCACATCTCTAATCTGCCCATAAATTGTCACCATGAAATATAAAACATATCTGATTGTCTCCTTGCTTTCTCAATTAAAGTAAGGCAAGGAATGAGCTTCCTGGGTCAAATGATACTGTCTATATCCACGCTCCAACGGATCAAAGCTCAGGGAGCCAAGGTTCCATTTAGATGCCAGGAAGCACTTCCTGACAGTTAGGACCCCGAAGGTGTGGAATGGGCTTCCACGGGAGGTCGTTGAGGCCCCATTGGTGAGGATGTTCAAAGATAGGCTCGACATGCACATGGTGGGCATGTCATGAGCGGAGCCAGCTGGTGCCGGAGGTCAGACTAGATGGCCCAGGAAGCCCCTTCTGACTTGCTCTGTTTCTATGTTTCTATATACATACACTGTGAATTAGAAATAAGCTGCTGTCAGTAAGAACTGATTTGCTCACATCTCCACAAAAAGCCTAAAATCACAAAAAATACAAAAAAAATCTAGAGTTTGCTATAACCTGGACTAGGTACCTAGACATAAAATGGAATCTTGCTATTATGTGACAAGTCACACATTTCCAGCCAACAACAGCAGTTCATATTAACAGAAGCCTTAATGATTAGTGGACGGTTCCCAGCATCCTTGTACTAGTGGGAACTGGTACAGCTGGAAATGACCTAAACTTTTCTGGAACAGGGCAAGTCAGTGGAGGTCTTGGAGGGCTGTTTTTATGAGTATAAGGGCAGTTTCCAAAATTTTTCCATATCACTAGGTCCCCCTTTGTGCTAATAGACTGCCTGCTTTGGATACCACCAAGAATCTGAAGCCTGTATATTTTCTAATCTGCAGAGCCTTGGCTGGATCAAATTAACCAGACTAATTATTAACCAAATGATTTACCTTTCAAACCACTGCTTTATGCTCTGCATAAGAGCTTCTCCAGGATATACTTGATAATCTCTTAAGTAGAAAAGTATGTGAATGAGTTCAGTTTTCATATGATCATCCTTCATAGTCCTGCCAGTGTCAAAAAGTGTTTGTATGGTACTCAGGTCTGGCATCACATTGTTGGCTAGCATCTCCCTAAAAAGCTGACTTGCAAGGTTTATTTCCTGATTAACAATGGCCCCCCTGATGCAGTCTCCATAGTTTGCTTTTGAAGGAGTGATTACTTTTTTAATCTCCTCTAGTAGTTTCAAGCCCTCTCTCCAGCGTTCTGTACCACTCAAGCCTTTGATAAGAAGACCATAAGCTGTTGTTTCTAAAGTCTTAAATCTGGCTTTCATAATGTCATAGACATCATAAATCTCTTCGATCTCATTCTGAGAGACACAAAAAGACAAGTACATCACCAAAAGATTATATGGAATATTTCCATCCCTATTAGCCACTGCAGCTAGCAAGGACTTAGCCACATCTATGTGACTCTTGTGAGTGACCATTTGCATCAACATAGCCTCTTCAAACTTGTAATAATCTGCAAATTCATCCATCAGTTTTTTCCACTCCTCAACAGTCAAAGGTTTTTCTGGAGGACAGAGTGTTTCTCTCCCAGAAGTGACACTGTACTCTGCATCTTTAAGGACTTCTGCAGATGCCGATCTCTTCTTCGATGCTCCAGCAGCAAACAGATTGAAAGGAAGGGGAGAATAGTAGCCATTCCGAGTTCTGTTCTTTGTACCGTCATATCTTCCTTTAGAACTCCCTTGGGCACTCACTGGATGAAGCGTTTCAGAATCCACTGATTTGGCCCACTGATATGATGTAGTAAATATGAAGCAGCCAAAGGCAGTAGGCAATTGTTGAAGCCTTAGAAAGGGGCTGAGCATTTGATGTTTCCTCAGTAATGTCTGCAAAATCCAGCTGCTCGTTTGGAAAAATAATACCATGATGCTGAAAAATTAAAACTGCAGGAGAAATTCCTGAAGGAACAGAACAATAAAAAATGTAAGGGGAATAAAGGTACACTTAAAGCTTTGTCAAAATTGACAAGAAAGTACCCACAATAATAGAAGTCACCAGCAAATCTATGTGCAAATCTATGTCAGTCTTTATAATCTCTTCTGAAGCCAAGACCCTGTAAGGTCCTTTCAAGAAAGTTCTGTTTCCTCAGTTGTAAAAAATACTTAACATAAGCCCATCTCTGATACTTTTTAATTTGAATAATGAGCAAAATGATATGAGAGTCTCATTCAAATCAGAAAAAGCTACATGAAAATAAATCATAACAAAGTATGAATACTGCTTCAAGGTGACACAAAGTATAAGTGTAACCACCTCCAAAATTTCGCCTACCTATCACAACCACTCTGTCTCATTCTTTCTGACAAACTTTTCTAACCAGTGCCCTCCAGGTGTAGTGGAATATAACCCCCAACATTTCTGACCATTGGTTGGGTGTAGCGGTAGTTGAAATACATAAGAACTGGAGGGCATCTTACAACCACCCTCTAGTGCAGGGGAGGACAACTTCTGCCCCTCTCTAAGGTTGGGCTACAACTCCCAAGCTATAGCCAGAGGTTGTAGTTCCCAAGCATCAGAGAGGTCATAAGTCACCGAGCCCTACTCTCTCTAGAAATATCCGTAACTAGTCCTAAAAAATAAGGAGATGAGCAGGACTGCCAGGGAGCAAGCATTTATCTTTGTTTGTGGCACCTCTTCACATGCAGTAGGCCACTTTATAAACATACTTCAGGGAAATGAGCCATGAAAGACAACCCCATTCAGTCTGCCTCTATTCTAGCAACACTTTCTCTGAATCTACTAATGCATGGTCCCCAACTGTTTTGGGTCCATGGGCATTTTTGCGAATTTGAGAAGCTGCTGTAGGGCACAACCACAAAATGCCTTATTCAACAAAGGTTTTTGTTTGTGTCTACTGGACACCACAATGTTTGTTTAGAAGGGGACGTCTTAATTTGCTAATTGCTGGCAGTTTGGTACTGCTTATTTTAAACATATGTGTTGACAATGTCTAGTAATTGAATGCCTTACAATGCTTTCATCATTTGAATGGGAGACTGCTTCAAATGGATACATATTTGGATATCTGTTCCACTTTTGGTGAAGCTGACATCTATCCTGACATCTTGTTGAAGCTGATATCTGTTCCACTTTTTTGAAGCTAGAAAATTCTACATTTCATACATGGGCATTACTATGAATATACATAAATCCAAGCATGTCTATTAAAGAAGCAAAAATATTTTTTAAAAGTAAAACCCATTTTGGGTATCCATGAGCACCACAGTGGGGACCCCATTGTGGTCACTAGTGGAGGTGCCTATGGGTTTAATATCATACCATTAGGAACCTCTATAGTACTAATGCTTATTACAGCATTAAAAACATAGCCGTTTAAAAAGACCTACAACTGGCTGGGACATGCTAGCAGTTCTAGGACTTTTTTCTGTCTGAACATGGATTGTGCCCTTAGGATCAATTCACTTGCACATTACCTAAGGCCAATGTCATCACCAGTCAATCAAGTCCTACAACATCCACATCATGCAAACGAGCAAGTCTCTTACTTATGATACAAAAGGACCCAGATCACAGATAAAATGGGAACATATGGAGATGACAAGAAAAGATTTGTCATCTTTCCATTTCTCTTATGGCATGATCATATACATGCAGGAAGCATAATTAAGGACCCATCACTTCCAGGTACAAGATTGCTGTCTAGGAAGCAGGTAGGAAGTAAATGATGAACCAGAAGACAGAGCAAGCAACAGCTTTTGGAAACATCTGTTAGGATTAAAACAAAAATGTTTCCCATTACTTCCAAGTACTTTGGTTGTGTTTGGACATATCACTAAGCCATACTTTAATTATACAAACAAGCCTCACAGTCCTTTGCTCCTTCTCCTTTCTCCTCTGCAAGGGACCAGAAGACTGAAAGCATCTTTCCATTTTCAACCAATCAGTTTGTTATTTTGTTCAATCTGCACTCTGCAGATAGTTTGAATTATGAGTGATCAGAAAGCACAATCTGATTTTGGCTTGTTCAGATAAACCATATCTTTTAATCACATTTTGCCCTGCACCAGAGCAGAAATGGCCACAACTAATTGATATAGCACTAAGCTATGCTCTAGAGTTCCTCAATAAAGTACCTTCCAAATCTGTTGGGCTAGAGCCCCATCAATCCCACCCAGCAATAATGGGAACTCTAATCCCAAACAACTGGAAAGCATCATGTTAAGGAAGGCTGGTCTAGTGCTATCCCTGAACCCATGAGTGTAGTCATATTTTATATCACACCACCGGAACTTCACAAGTCTGCTTTTTTGGCTATGAAGCTTAACCATGTCACACTATAGATAAAAACATCATCAGTGAATACACAATCAATTTTCCAGCCTGTTGAACAGAGAAGACCACAAGCACACCAAGAGGCAACAAATGAGTTCGTCTCCCCTTGTTACAATAAAATAATAACTCTTCCACCTCCTCTTTCCCCGCCTAAAAGGAAGACAGCCAAGAGGCATAGGTTAATTTTTATTTCCTACCATATACTCTAATGCATTTTGACAGGCAGAGAGCTTAACTCTTCATTTGACTTCTCGCTCTTCCCTATGCATGCAAGTCCATCTTAAGACATGTTAAGAACTAAAAACAAAAGATTTAAGTTTAGATAGCTGAATGTATTACTTCTGCAAACTGAAGACTTCCACTTGCACCACAACGAAGGGAAAAAACAACAGGGAACAAACTGTCCTACGGCCACGTTTTTTACGTCATCGTCCGGGAAGTAGTTCGCACAGCATGCTGGGAATTGTAGTTCAGCTACTCTCTCAAGTTACACACTGAGGTTGACAGCTTCGGTAGTACATTACCAGCCTTACCTATCTGCCCCATCTAGTTACCTGATCCGAGAGATGAAGATATCAACTCGGCATGACATTGCTATCTGCGAGTAAAAAAAATTAAAAGTCCGGCTATACAACAAAAACCACCATAGAAGACTCTCCGAGATCCTTCAATTGAAATGCCCTAACAAGTCGGCTGACGTTACACATGGCCTACAGGATTCAATCAGAAACGACCGCGCCTAGGCTGTAGTCGCCATGCTAGTTAAGGGCACCGGCTCTGCTTCCTTTTACTTTCCTTTGAAATGGCGGCGGCGGCGCAGGAACGGTCATATGACACAGGCGCCGTTTCCCGGATGTTGCTGTTGGTGATGGTGGCGGCGATCGATGGGATTGAAGTTGGTGGTTGTGTGGGACAGAAGCCCCGCGAAACATGGACTGGAAGCAGGCGTTGAAGAGCCGGTTGGCTGTCAGCATCGACGGTGAGTGCGCACACTGGGGAGTTCGTTGGGGGGAAAGACGATCGGCCGCAGGTGCCGGTGCTTTCCCTCATAGTCGAATGGGGGAAGGGCTGACTGACAGTTGGGGACCCGTCACTGGGCCTTGGTCCCCCCAGTGCGGCCTTCAAGGGAGGCTGGGGGCTTGGCTTCAGAAGTTGTTAGCCCGACCGCGAAGGGATACTGGGGTGGAGTTTAGCGGTGACTCTAGGATGGATGCTGCTTGTCTAGCACCACTGAACTACTAATGAGGAAAAAAAGGAATCGTCTGTAACTTTACTCTTTCTGGCATTTTTCAGACTCTCTTGTTTGATAATAGGTTCTCGTTAATCTTAATTTAACTCATGTGTCTGAGTTACTTCTATTTTTGCCGCAATCAAGAAGGTACAGGGGGTGCCCCATTTAATTCTCTCAGCAGCCCTGTAAGATAGTAGGTTAGGCTTAGAGATACTGTGTTTTCAGAAGAGACATGTTTTGTGCCATTGTTACCGGACTGAGCCAGTCAACAGCTGGGGCAAACCTGGGTGGACCCCAGACCCGAGCCAAACAGAGCCTGAGACGAGACTTAGAGCCAAAATCAGCTTTATTCTAGTGCACTATAGAATAAAGGGAGACGAAAGGGGACATTCAGCCCAAAGCAGTGTCTCAAAAGTTGCACCACAATACATGGGTTTTTGTTTTTGTTTTTATAAAACATTTTTATGCCGCCCCATTCGCCGAAGCCTCGGGGCGGCTTACAACAATAACTAAAAGTAATTATAAATTACAATAAATATAAACATTAAAAATCCAAAAAATACCAATTAGGTCACCTAATACACATCTAGTATATCGATACATCAATGTATGCACCCCCTCCCGTGCTGGAGAAAGAATCCTTTCTTCTGTCAAGGACCAGACATTTCCCATGTCTATTTCTTATCTGCTCGAGATTCACACAGGCTTTCCATGTTCTTACTCCCTGCAGATTTGCAACTTTCATGGCGGCTAGAACCAGTTTCCACTGCCCCTTTGATTCTGTATTCGAGGTCAGGCTAGCGTGTTAGCTGTGGGTTACACAAAGTTCATTTTGTTCGTATCTGCCCTCCCTTCTGGGACAGTATAACTGTGGTGTTTTTACTATGTGGCCTTTCTCTGGCCAATTACTTTTGGGGTGTTTTGGGGTGCTGCAATTGGTAACACCATCAACCTGCTTCATTCATGGAATTGTACAGGGAGTCTGGATGGTGATACCTTCCATTTATATGGCTCCTGTGGTTTTCCACTGAAACTTCTGTCTTTTTTTATCTTTTTTTTCACCACAGAAAATTAGTGAAGGAGGAAAAGATGGAATAGCTGCATAGTGCCTTTTTGTGGTAGTGTTATGAGCTCTTTATCTAGAAGAGTACTTAGTTATTTGTTCTTATTCATGCAGACAGCTTCAAAACTGAAATGTGCCTTGGATCCAAGGCTGCTTTTAGATTAAATCTAGCACACTATCCATTAGATGTAGGGTCTGTTCACTCTTCAATAACTTCATGGGTAAATCAGAGTAATACTATGGATAGTTATCCTAGATTAACAAAATTGTTGCTATTATGTTACATTGTCTTTGCCCTAATTTTGGCCTGTACCCTGTTCCCTATGCTGTTTCCTTTGTACCACCCCATCTCTTGCTTTTTTATCTGGATTATCTTACCTGCAGTATGGCAATCTTGCATTATAATGCTGTGTCTCATTGGCTGGCTTGTTAGTTGGCTTTTGTTGCATTTATATCACACTGTGGTGCAGAATTTATTTATTTAGTATTTATTTTTGAAACTCATTTTCTGCCACATTAGAGAATGTGATATATAATTCAAGGATGGGTAACTGGCAGACAGTCTAGCAATCAATCCTATTACCACCACCCCCGATACACACATCCCTATGGCCCCCATCGCACGCACACACACCTCTTGATGGTCACAAAAAGAAGTGTTAAACATTGGCTGTTTCACCACTTTACGGTCTACTGAGGGTTTTTTTTTTTTTTTCTAACTAGGGAGTAGACTAGAGGAGTACATAGTGCCTGAGTGTTGTTCACCTGTGCTGTTAATCTCTAATCTATGGTAAATTTAGCAGAATCATTATATCTGCTTTTCATAGGGGAAAATGTTTGAGAGGAAAACTTGGAGAGTATGGAAGCAGAAGAGCTGCTTAACTCTTTCCCTACCTTCCCTTCTCCAATATAAATCATCCACCAGTTTCTGCTTTCGAGTTCTTGATGTGTTTGATTTTCTATTGGGCATTTATTACGGATATCTAAATATATTTTTTCTTGCTTAAAAGCCAACTGGTCACAACAGTTACATTGCAGGACATTCTAACTTAACACACAAAGCTTTCAACATAGAATCTTAATCATTACTATACTTTATATGAAAAAGTGAAAAGTCACTTGAGAAACAACACTTGCATGTTGTTTTCCCCTATACGGCACTATACAGTCGTAGCAAGAAGGGATTTTACGGGATTTGGAAGCGGAGGAGAAGTTAAGCAGAGAAGTCCCCTGGCAGGTATGTGTATATCAGACTCATATGTGAAATTTGAAAGCAGAAATATTTTGGAAGCTTGTTTTATTAAAATAAACTATATGAATAAAATGTAATACACCATATCTTATATTAACTAGCCAAAAAGAGTGATCAAGAGTTGAAGGATGAAGAAATGGAACTGTTTACAAAATACTACCTAGAATGGAAAGGAGGAAGAAAAAATGCCAATACCTCCTATATGAATATACCACGATTTTATTATAGGGTAAGTCATGATTTCAATTACTCTGTGTCAGTAAAGAAAGAAATAAAAAGTACTGTCTTTCATTTAGCTAGCTTCAGATTTCTAACAGAGTGATCTGTGAGTATGCAGCGGGCTTATTAAAACCAATTATTGTCTAGGGTGGAATTGCGCCAAACTTAAAAAAGACAATTCCTTCTAAGAATGCAGGAGTGCATTGAGCTTTGTTAAATAGCCTCAATAATAAAGATGAGGAACCCCCAAAGGGGGCTAGAACTATTTTGTTTGCAGAAGTACAGTTATGATAAATTGCTTTAAACTGTGAGACTGTCAAATTCTAGATACAATAGTATTCTTAGCAGGTAAAGGCAATATTTGATAGTTTTGCATAGCATGTGCTTGAGCTGAAATGGGAATTTTCTCCTTCTTGTCCAAGTGAATTGCTGGTAAGTTCCTTAGTGGGGGCTGCATTATACCTGTCAAATGATACTAGTCTTGCTTATTCTGATTAATGGTGTCATGCAGTATAAGTGGGGCTTGCTAAAACTTTCACCCATAAGCTTGACCATCTTGCAAGTTACCGTGATTTAGGTGATTGCTCATAGTGTTGCTTTGGCCAGCTTTCATTTCATTTCATTCTGGCCTTTTCCTCACTGGCAGTCCATCAGTTTCTGCTTCTAGAAGCAAGGTGCTTTTATGGACTGGTAAGCTGTCACATCTGTAATGCTTGGCTGAGATAGTTTAATTCAAAAAATGTGAACAGCACATTTTCAAAACAGTGCTATGATATTTCAACTGCAAAGGATATTTGGTCATAGTAAACCACACTTTAAAACATCTAGAGAGGTTCTTTTAGTCAATTTCTGGCAAAAGTACAGTGCTAAAGTAATTCAGTGATTTTGATGTGGATTGGAAAATTTGGGTTCTACTTCTAAATCTGTTATGGAATATAGTCTTGTTCATACAAATAGCAGGTAAGGTGGTAAAATTGTTCCTGGATTGTATCACTACATAATGCGTATTTTCTGGTACAGAGAGAAGTTTTCTCCTATGCAGTTCTGCAACTGAAACCTAAAGTAGTACAAACCAGGAATAGTAGGCCAACCTTAGTTGCTGTCACTTTCAGTTTCTGCCTGTAAAATGAGAATGGTGATAACTTAACAGCCTTTCTCTGGAGGGGAACACTTGAACACTGTAAGGATTTGTCTTATAGTTTAAACTGGAAAATATTAGTTCAGTCAATGGTGCACAAGCAAACTTCTGTCTACACAATGCTAATTTGCTTTCCTTTCCTCCCTGTGTGCCCCAACCCAGATCTGCTTTGGCTAGTCCCCTATGCTCAGGAGTAGATTTAGGATTATAGAGGGATTGCAGGTGGAGGGAATAAGAGCCAGTTTCTACAGAGGTATAGAAACTAACAACTCCTGTTGTTAGATGGACAAAGTTGGATACAGACCTTAAAATGTACAAATTATTCGTGAAATATAGCAAAAGTTAAGCTACTGACAAGCAGTAGACAATTATTGACATATTACTGAATTGGTTCATGTAAGTATATGAAACAATTTTAATACAGATTC